AAAAAAAAAAAAAAGAAAGAACAAGGGTGAAGAGGGGCATAGAGAGGATCCTATCTAAGTGATATTCATTAAACAAACAGGAATGAAAGCAGAGAAAGATGGGCAGATATAGAGATAAAGAGAGAGAAGGTTGCACTCACGGGTGCGATGTACTCCTCGGTTCCCACGAAAGAGTTCGATGATGTTACGGGCTCTGCCACAAACTCCGGAAGTGCGCCATTTGGGTTTCTTGCGGAGTATGGTCTTTTTTCTTTTGTTGGCTTCAACAACTTCAATAGCATCACACGCGCGCACACACACACACACACACACACACACACACACACACACACACACACACAACATCCTGATGAGTTGGCGGAAGTCCGCCGAAACAGTCTCGCACCGTACAGTCATCCTTTTCTCTTTGTGGAGTTGTGCATAGCGAATATGGCCCGCAACAGTGGCAAGGATGCATCTTTATAACTTCGAGAACTTGAAGAGGGTATTGAGATACTTAGAGAGAGAGAGAGAGAGAGAGAGAGAGAGAGAGAGAGAGAGAGAGAGAGAGAGAGAGAGAGAGTTAAGCCTTTAAGGCTTTAAACTTCAAAAAAGGACAAGACTCAGAAAAATTCGGGAAAATACTTTTTGAGAGCGACCATGAAAGATGATAATGCTCTTGAGAAAGTGGATGGAGTAGAAGGCTACCATCTCCGCCCGAATGGAATGTGTGCCATTGTGTGGTGATTATAGCTGTGGATTTAGGACCGCTCTCAGTGGAGATGTATGTAGCGATAATGAACGTACGTTCTATTCAGGCGGAAGACGGTTTCCTTCCTCCTCCCTTCTTGACATGCACTCTTATAAAATATTACAAAGAATGAATGATGAGTAAAACAAAAGACAACAGTGATGATGTGAATGTGTCTTTCCTGCCTCTCATCCTTTCTTGAGTTTCTTCCTTGTTTCCTTCTTCTCAAAGCCTCTTTCGGAACAGAGGGCAGTATCTTAAAAATGACAAGTAGAACAGAGGGCAGTATCTTAAAAATGACAACAGTGATGTGGATACCTTCTTCTTCACATATTGTGGTGGGAAGACTCTGAAGTGCAAAACTGGAAAAGGAGCCAGGAAGGTGGAAAGTCACTTGAAAAGTCATTCGAGATGTCCAAAATATCCCCCGACTACCACTGGAGGAAGACGTCTCCTTGCGCCCTCTCTCTCTCTCTCTCTCTCTCTCTCTCTCTCTCTCACACACACACACACACACACACACACACACACACACAGACACAAACCTCTTAGGAGCCACTAGTGGCTATATCTTAGCACGGGGCGACAAACTTATAAACTCAGGCCAGCGCATACTAGGCACACATATCATCAGCAGGACACAGACCAGCAGGACACAGACTTAGAAAAACACGACAAACGAGACCCTGTCCTGGAGATTTCAGCAAAAACAGATCGAACACAGCACGCATTGTCAGAAAAGTGCAGATTTCTTTCCTTCCCATGATGTGAGTCGTGCTATCCTTAATCATGTGTGACAACCATAATGGCTCATGGTCTTTGGCATTCATCCTTGAGAGGTAGGTAGCACTTTCGAGCAGAGAGAGAGAGAGAGGTCATTACCACTGGGTTTGTGGCTGCCTGAAACGACAGGTCGAAGTCAGTCAAAAGAATGTGACCATTTTCTTGCAGAAGAACATTTTCTGGCTTCAGATCCCTGTAGATCACACCTGGAGATTGAATGCGGCAAGTACAACATACAATGAGCAAGTCGAAATAACCAGCAAATGGAGAGAGGGTCAACTGACAGGCAAAAATTTGCCGCCGACAATTTTCGTGCAAAATTCAGCAAAAATTCCAGAAACAAACGATATTATGGCCCCATATTGCAAACATAAAAAAAACAACAAACAGGCCAAAGAAAATGAATTGAATTATTGAACAAAAAACAACAAAAACACTATAAAACCCTAACACAAAAACACCTTTTGTCAAGTTTAAATGAAGGCTGCCACCTATTCAACAAAATGCCTGCTTTTTCATTATTGATCCAAAGTTCCAAACATGTCAAAACTGGACACATTACGTACCCTAAAGCACATACATATCACACCGAAATACCAACAATGGAAAACACACACACACACACAAAAAAATAATCAGCATGATATGAGTCATATGACACTTTTGGTCCAAAATTCGTCGAAAATAAGTCTAAATAACACCCCCTGTTAACCACCTTTGTGTGGGAACAAACAAATGTCAGGCTAGTCAACAGGCCCCCCAACAAGTACCAGTGCCTTTTCTTTTTTTTTTTTTTGGACCTTGTGCAAGGGCTCTATATCCCAGTGGTGGTAAGAGAACCACCGGAATTGAGGCTTTGCCTAGTGGGCCGGTCCATCTATTAGTGGGGAGCCTCACCTGGTGGAAAAGGGGTCCAGCGTCAGTGCCTACTTGATGGGGGGGCTGCAAGAAGCCTAATAGCGTATAGTAGCAGTGCTATAAGGGATGGAGCTTGTTAGGTGAGAACCTGCAAGGTGCCAAGGGATGCTGTCTTTTCCAAGAACACAACACTCACCCTCCCGGTGAATGTATACAAGCTATCTTTCCGGCCTGGTACGTACATGAATGGCCGTGCTTTGTTATAGGGGAAACACTACAGACACATACAGAAGCAAATCTGTGAAGCTAGCTAGTTTCACACTGGTTAGGATCACAGCTCTGCTTTTCGGTGCAGAAGGACTGCTGTGTTCTTCATGTAGCGTCACGAACTGGATTCAGCCTGTGTGTCCTACTTCGAGTGCAAGGGTACCATCATCCCCTGAATAGAACATATATATGTGGTCATTATCGCTGTCTCTAGAGTGCAAGTTGCTCAAACACTGTTATAAATTTATAATGACCATATGTTCTATTCGGCGTGTGTGTGTGTGGTGTGTGTGTGTGGGGGGGAGAGACGGTAGTGCTATCATCATTCGGCTACCGTCTTCCCCCGAACACAACGCACCCTTATTTTGGCTGTATCTGGCCGGAAATATAGCTTGTACACATTCATTTTTAGGGTGCGTTATGTTCGGGGGAAGATGGTAGTACACTGAGGGGTTGCATTCATACCTAGCTCGAAAATTTCCGACGACTCCAATCAGGAAGTCGCCAGATATCATGTGAACAGAGGAAGCAATTCAACAGTTTCAAACTCAAATCCTTAAACCCACCGCTCTGTTTCTGGTCCATGTCCACCTGTGCAGTGCATGCGGTGCACCCCATCTGTGCACTTTGTGCACTGCTATCTCTCGTGGCAAGAGTATTCGGACTCTTGGGCATAGCCTAGCATCATCCCCCGAACACAATGCATCCGGGCCATGAACGACATTGAACGTATACAAGCTATCTTTCTGGTTCAATACAGTTACGATGAAGGTGTATTCGAACTCTTGTGCATTGCCTAGCATCATCCCCCGAACACAATGCATCTGGGCCATGAACGTATACAAGCTCAGAAGCTCTCTTTCCGGTCTATGAGGGTGCCTTACGTTCGAACTGTCTCTTATACACATCTAGATGTGTATAAGAGACAGGCCTAGCATCATCCCCCGAACACAATGCATCCGGGCCATGAACGACATTGAACGTATACAAGCTATCTTTCTGGTTCAATACAGTTACGATGAAGGTGTATTCGAACTCTTGTGCATTGCCTAGCATCATCCCCCGAACACAATGCATCTGGGCCATGAACGTATACAAGCTATCTTTCTGGTTCAATACAGTTACGATGAAGGTGTGTTGTTGTGTTCGGGGCAAGAAGGGCCCGAGACCCGAAGCTGCGGACACTGGGCTGTATGTGAGACATGCACCACCCCTGTGGTAGCGACACTATCGTCTGGGTCGAGAGCCGAACTTTTTTTTTTTTTTTTTTTTTTTTTTTTTTTTTTTTTTTTTTTTTTTAATACAGAAGGGTCATGCTAATCTTGTTTCTCTGTATTGTTCCAATTTTAATGGATGTCCAGAAGGGCACCCACCCCGTGCTGTGATATTTATTGTTTCAAAATATGGAAATAGATGGAAAAATAGGACTTTGGCCAAGTCCGGCGTCCACCATTTTGCCGGGTATCGTCTGTCTGTTGCGTTTGGATGGTTTGTCTGCTACTTGGGGTTCGGGTTGTTGTTGTTGTTGTTGTTGTTGTTGTTGTTGTTTTTTTTTTTCTGGGTTCGGTTTGTAAGCACACAATCGTCCGTCTGTCTGTCCAGGAGGCTGAACCCCAAATATGGCCAGTGTGGAGGATTTGCGGCATTGGATTTCGTTTGTCCGATGCTTGGGGCTCAGTTGTATGGCAATCCGGACAGCGTGAAGGATTTGGGATTCTTAGATTACCTAGTACCGTCTTCACCAGAATAGAACGCCCGGTCATAATGACTGCATCTGGACTGAAAGTTGCCCCAAATACCGATGATAATGACCGGGCTTTCTATCCGGTTGAAGATGGTAGGGATGATGTGGCTAAATGCCCCCGGTATCTCATTTCGTTCATAAATGTTTCCACATGCCTTCGTATGGGACGCTGGCCCGGTTCCCAGCACGTGCTGCTCCCCACAAATATAGATTGGAGCTTGTTTTCAAACAAAAAAAAAGAAAAAAAAAGAAAAAAAAAAAGAAAA